CTTAGGGGAATGGTTATTTCTCATTTTTCCTTTGTATCTGTGTCTCTCCCATGACCACACATAATCTATAGCAAAAACAAACAAACAAACAAAAAACAAACAAAAAAATTATCTGTTGGCAATAATAGGTGTGGTAATATCTTTGGGTCAATATTCAGTGTATTCTGGAGAGCCAGCAGGTGGTGTGGTGGCTAGGGATGCTGGACTCCCACATGGCTGACTTTGGTTCAAGTCCTGGACATGGTGGCTTGCTTTCTCACTTTCCTTCTCTCTCTCTCTCACTCTGTCCCTCCCTGGACAAATTAAAATAAATAAATAAAATTAAATAAAATAATTCTTTAAAAAAAAAAAAGGAACTAGCAGTTAGCGTAATGGCTATGTCACTGGACTCCCACGTAGTCAATCGCGGTTCGCATCCCGGACCCGGTGGCTTAAAACTCATGTCGGGCGCGTGTGCGTGTGTGCCCAAGATCCTGAGAGGAGAATGGAGGAGAAGGGATTGTGACCATCCCCCCTGGGGGTAATTTCTCGCTTTCTGTCTCTATTTCTCTCTCTATCTGGCAAGCACATGCACCCTATAGCAAAAAAAAAAAAAAAATCTCCAAAAAAAAAATATTCAGTGTATTCTGGATGAGAAAATTCATTTTGTATGCTGTAAAGATATACAGTGAATGAATATAAAATAAAAAAAACAACTATACATGAATTTTAAAATTTATTAGCACCAAAAAAAATGTATTAAAGTCAATAAACAAAAAAAGTAACAACCCACAGTTAGCAATAGTAACAATCCCTGAGTGGAAGAACCTGATTTCCAGAGTGACCAAATTATAACATTAAAAATGTTCTCAATGGGACTGCTAGATTGCATAGCAGTTATATCTATGGACTCCCACAGGGTCAACCACAGTTTGTGTCCCAGATGTGGTGGCTTCAAGATCACATTGGGTATGTGTCATGTGCGCCTAACATCCAGGAGGAGAATAGAGGAGAAGAGATCATGGCATGGCCATTCCCTTAGGGGAGTGATTTCTCAATTTCCCTTCTCACCATGTCTGTCTCTTTCTCTCTGGTAAGCACATGGCCCTAAGGCAGGAAAATCACACACACAAAAAAAAAGTTCCAAATGATTATTTTCACAAAAAATAGAAAATATCATTCTAAAATTTATGTAAAATACCTCGAATTCATCTCCAAAAATTACTATAACCCCTGATAGGCCAAAACATCCTGAAGAAGAAGAAAGAACAAGTTGGATGTGTCCCAGTTTGCTGATTTCCAAACTTACTACAATGTTACAGTAATCAAAACAGTGCTCTTCTCATATAGAAACAGATATAAAGATCAATGGGATAGAGAACCCAGAAGTAAATTTTTAAACAGATCATAAAATAATTTAGACAAAAATACCAATACTATTTAAATATGGGTCACAGATAGTCTTTTCAACAAATGCTGCTGGAAAAACTAGATATCCACAAGCAAATGAATGAGTTAGACTCTCTTACCTTAGACTATATTTTTAAAAATGAACTCAAAGTGGATCAGAGAACTAACTATAAGGGGTAACAACTAGAATTTTAGAATAAGACATGGGACATTCTTTGGGACATTGGATTTGGCAATGGTTTTCTAGAAATAACACCAAAAGCACAGGCAGGAAAAGAAAAATTAGGTAAATTACACCCCATCAAAATTTGAAAATTTCGTGCATCAAAGAACATTGCTAACAGAGTTAAAAGCAATCTATAAAACAGAAAATTTATTTGTAAATCACATACATGATAAGGGATTAATAATCAGAACATGTAAATAATCCTTACAACTTTGCAACAAAAACCAAACCATTCCATTTAAAAACTTGAATATGCTGAAAAGACATTTCTACAAAGACATACAAGTGGTCTATAACTCCATGGGAAAAAAGTCAAATATCACTAGTCATTTTGAAAATCAAATCAAACTACAAAGAGATACCAGTTCACACTGATTAGAATGGCTATTCACTTAATCACAAAGT